GCAATGTGCCTGATCGGGGGTGCCCCTGACTACCATGCTTTCTCCCTGGCAAACACAGCCTGCTCTCCTGACAAAACGCTGCTTGAGGATCAAAGAAATGTACCATATTGTTAAGGCTGGGAATATTTTTCCAAGCATCACTCACTCTTCACAATTGCCTGTACTCTGTAGGTTAAAATTCTCTTGGCAGAGCTCCGAGCATCTCCCAAGGGCTCAGGCAGTCACTCTCCACTTGGCTTCCTCCAGGGAAAGCTCCTGTATCCCTCCGAGGAAGCTTTTCAAGCATGCCTTTCCCTCGAGAGGGGGCCTGTTGCATTTCAAAGAGACACTGGATTGCTTTTTTAAGAAAAGGCAGGCACTTTCCTAACCCACCTGTTCAGTGCTAGCATAACCTGCTCCGCACTGAACTCATCGTACTCCCTTTTCTGAAGAGCTTGGATGGGCAGCAGCTCATGACGTTGACACTGGAAGTATCATCATTAGCATCCGAATGGAACGGGTTGGGGAAGTACTGCTTGTGTCAGAAATGCTGGTCCATGGCCCATACATGCCACAGCACTAGCCAGGCTCAGAGACATTTGGGAACCGTAACAACTAGAAAGTATTTTTTCCTAAAAGCACAGATTCTGAAGATGAAGAAAACAAGCAACAAGAAGGAAGCGCCTGTAGCCTACAGTGCTTCCTGCAAAATGAATTATAGCAAAAGGAATCGTTTTGGAGATAGTCTCTCTCAATCTCGCAGACCTGCAGTAACACAAAACACACCTGCAACTTCCTGTTAACATTTTTTTGTATTCATTACTGCTATTCCATAGAAATTCTAGGAAAACTTACCCCTCTGAAACCCTGGAGTAGTTTGTGTAAGTTTGTAGTTTGAGGGATCAGCCTGTGAGTCTCTTTCCTTATTTCATTCCTGTGTGCTCTCTTTATTCTGTTGCCATTCTTTAGCTCCGCTGCTTTGGTATTTCTTTATTCTTGCTGCGAGCAGCATAGGACAGGCAGAAGAAAGAAGGGAACGGGCTTTGACTGGCTGTCAAGATGTGATCTTTGAATATGGCTAACCTGGGTTTTATTCTCTGCTTCACCACTCCCAGTGCAAATTTCTCTCCATCTTAATTTCTGTAATTCTTACCAAACATGTATTAGTCTACGTAACCTCCTAGCACCCTGTAAGGCATCACAATATTTAAACATAAAATACACAAACGTCAACAGAGCTGTCTTTCTGTCTACCCTTTTGCCTTGAGGTAGGACAAACTAACTAAACTGCACTTAGAAAACATTTGATGAATTTTTCATAGTAGAGCTGTGTAAAGATTAAAGTTGCACAATCTTCCTGAACACATCTATTCTGGTGCTTATCTGCTCCACTGATATGTTTTACACATCTTGAACTGCACAGCTGATTTTTTTATTCAGCAGTAGCTCAGCTCAAGTTGAAACTAGGAAGAGATGTGAAAGTCAGCATGAAAGGCTTCTGTAAAGACATCAGTGGCAAAAAGGAAAGGAAAAGAAAGGAAAAGGAAAGTCTGCTGCTCAACATGGTGAGGGATCTAGTGATGAAAGACATGAAAAAGGCCAAGGTACCCAGTGCCTTTTTCCTCTTTTCATAGTTTTGGGGTCCCCCATACAGTAAACAACAGCCTACTGGAACAAGACCAGCAGAAGACCATCATGATTACTGTAGGTACGCAATGGACAAGCAGAGGCTGAGAGCTGAGTATGCTCAACCTTAAGAAAAAAAGGTCCTACTGCTGTCTACAACTGCCTACCGTGAGGTTAGAAAGAAGACAAGACCCAGATTCTCTTGGAGGTGCATAGGGATGAAATTAAGAGTCAACAGCCACTTGTGGAACAATGGATATTCTGATTAGATATGAGGATAGTTTATTACCTTGAAGGTAGCAAAATACAGAAGCAGGATGCCCACAGAGATTGTGGCATTTCCAACCTCTGAGGTACTGAAAACTTGACTGGACCTCTGGAGGTCTCTTCCAGCTGCACTTCTACAATTTTACTTTGTGACTTACGGCAAAGAAAGCTGCAGGGTAAGGAGTGGAGACCATGCCTCCCTGACTTCCAGCAGATCCCTAACTGATGGAATGTCTCCGCTATTACAGACATGTTCTACATTTATCTTTAAATAACTGCTGTATCAGGACAGATTTTCTACGAAGAACACAAGCTTGTATTATGGACCTAATGCTTCCACAAGCAACTAAACAACATCATGAAAGGTATTTTCCCCATCTCCCCCAAGTACAGGAGACAGGATCAAACAGACACTTAAGTATTAAAACCTTCCACTAAAGGAAAATCATGTTCGTAACAGCAATCTAGCATCAGCATATTTCATCAAACCCTTCTCTATCACTGATCACACGCACAGTAACATCTGTGCAAGCCAGTTGGCTCTGGACAGCTCCTGGGGTTCTTGAAAGACTATTTTTTGGCAGGTTCTGTTTTTCACTCTAATTGAAAGGTTAATCAAATCAGTCATACTTGTATGTTAGCTAAATAAACACACTGTCTCCACTGATGATGAAACAGATGCATTACCACTTGTGTTTCCCATGGGGTTCATTTGTTCCATGATTGCATTTGGTTTTCTTCAAGCTCCTCTATGCAATACTTGACAGCATTTTGGATAGTTTTCATAAGGAAATTTACCTTTCAGATGCTATTGCATTCACACGTCTCTTAACTCTAGTAGTCTTTGGCAAAGGTGTCATATATCCTCAACACTGCTTGGTTGTGAAAAAAGTAGAAGTTAATCCTAAAAAAGGTGAGAACTCTTATTGAGGCATAAATGCATTGTCAAGTCTAGCAGTTTATGTTGCTGAGGCAGAACCTGCTAAGACATTCAAATCTGGTTTCTCTCTGCCTCTCCTCCCTCACTGCTAAGTTTCATTCTGCAGAAAGCTGTTTTAACAGGTCGTGTTAGCTTTTAGAACCCCATCCTGCAAACTCATACGCCTTGTGTTTGATTTCATGCACTGTTCCGCAGTGCGACTGACGCATTACATGTATGATCTCTTTCTGAAACTAACGTTTACATTTGATACTGCGATTCATCATTTGTAAGACATACAGGAGATATGCTGAATGCATGACAGGTAGAAAGTATTTATTCAAGTTGAGAAGTTTTGTGTATCACAACATTTTTAAAAGTCCAAAAGCTACAACAGCTGATACTGTTTCAAAGGAAAAGGCAACCAAAAACTTTCTGCAACCTGGTTATTAATATAATCAAGAAAGTCTCAAGCCATACAAAGATTAATACAGATTTAGAAAATTTCAATATTACACACTCTGAAGTGTATTTGAAGGAAAAAAGGCATAATTTTTTCTCCATTTAAAAAATATTATTTATGCAACACATTACTGAAGTTCTTTAGAATGGGATTCATCTCATCTATTTTCTGTGTTCTAAAAGATGTAGATAACAATTAGATTGCTAAACTATTAAGAGATGCACTCGCTGCAGGAGTCTTTAACTAAGCCAGGTTTTAAGAGATATTCTCTCCTTCTCTCCCTCCACTGACAGTAAAGGGAGACCAGACTTGCCAGGTCTACATGTCTGAACAATTTAAGTCATATGCACAACTCCTCATCAGCCAGCCATTAACTCCCACTGCAGTCCCTCCTCTTTTTTTTTTTTTTTTTTTTTTTTTTTTTTTTTAATTACTATTTTTAAAAGTTAAAGCATAAAATCATGTCATCAAATTCCAACCTTAGGTCTCCATGTTAAAAACTTTTTCTTAATCTATCTTGTAATGAAGAGGAAACTGTTATGGAGAGCTGAACATCATACTAAGGCAAATCACCTAATTGCCATTACAAGTAAATGGCATTTGAGGAAAAGTACCATTTTCTCCCACCCTGTACCATACCTTTTTAACCTCCAATGCACCTAAAACCATCTAGAGCCAAAGCATAGCATTCTAATTTATGACATTTTGTCACCTTACCAAAAGTCACGTTGATAGATATTTTACCATTTTTGTTATCATCATAGAGCCCCTTATTGCTGACAATAGAAATGCCAAATAGCAGAGTAAAACAGGATAGCTGAGGAACCCAGAGCCAGCAACAACAGGCAACAGGGACAGCACTGACCTCCATGGGACTTCACTCATCCTGAAATTTACTCCCACTGTGTTCTTATAGCTTGAATTTGGCATTCGCTTAAGCACTCTGTTGAACTGAGGCATGGGAAGAAAGGCAACAGAAATAGTGGTCAAGTATCAGGTGGATTTACATTTTGAGCCATAGCACAAGAGAGAGATTTGAAATTAATAATTTCTCTGTAGAAAGCTTTGCATAAGCTAAAAACAGCAGTTCATCTCAGTTTAATGATACTGTATTTGTAAAAGCTTCTCTGTAAAATGGTTCTGCATAAAAATACAAAATGTTTGGAAAAAAATAGCATGATAAGCTATTGTTTAAAGCATTTTTTAATCTTGTATTTGAATTTTTCTGTGAATCGTTCACAAGGTGCTATAATACACTTGAAGCTGTACAGATAAGCTAGTATCTGCAATCCCCAGCCAGAGTTTAATGGCTTGCTGATCAAAGAAGAAATGCTTTTAGGATGACTTTTTCATCTACTAGAATTCAAACTGATAAAAATAGTAAAGTCAGATTATTGTAACTGTGTGTGTATTAGGAAATACAACTGAAAATAGATTTGGGAGACTGGTTTTTAATATTTATTTAGTAAAACTCACTATACAAACAAGAGTTATCACAAGAGTGTAATATGCCGGTTTATAGTTTCTCCTCCCTTCAAGCTATTCCTTTGTTGCAGTAAAAACAGATATATACATTTACAACGATCTCCCCTTAAAGCACTGGGATTTCATATATTAAAACATACCCAGTAAAATAAGCTTAAATTAATTTTACATTGCTTGGAAAAAGATTTGAGTAATTTACTCTTACCAGAGTGCCACTGTTGCACAGTATTCAAAAAAATGAACCACCACTAAAATATAGAGTAAAACATTTAAAAGTACATTTATTTAAAATGTGGGCAAAGTATCAATATAAAAGAAAATAGAGTATAAGAAATAAAAATAAAGTACAAAACATTTTCATCTTCAACATCCATAATTTAATAGATAGCAAGCCCTTTTATTTTTACATCCAAATTACACTTTTGGCTGAAGTACCATCATTTACGTTAAAATGTTTAAAAACGGGCTAATCATGATAGCTAAAGTGGGCTCTTTTAAAATGGTAGTATAATACAAAACATAGTAAATTATGTTTCAGCATAACAAAATTACACATCCTAAAAAAGATGCAGTTTATTTTTGCTTTCCTGCTTTGAACTGCTCATCATCCCTAGGAAAACAGCTGGAAAACAGCATCCACAGGAAGTTTTAGTTGCTTTGTACAATGGCTGAACAGCTAGATTTAATGCTCCAAGGATTCCGAAGCAGTAAGGCATTTCACTATCCATCAAGTAAATTTATATGTATGTTTGTTAAGAAAGAACAACTTTTAAGAAATGACTGCAAAATAGAACTTACAGAAAAACATGCATAAAGACACAGAACTCTTACAGGTCCCTCCACTGCATTTATCAAACAGGGTTTATAATCTTCTTCAGTAAAGCTATCTTCCTCATCTGCAAGTAACCCGTGACAAGTATTTTTCTTAGTGACAAGTTTTTTTCCTGTTGCTTAATATTCTACTACTGTTACTTTCTGACAGCCCTGCCTCCCACCTCCACTGAACTGTTTCCTATCAAAAAATAATTCCTCTTTGAATTTAAAAGCTGGGCTTCTGGGTGTTAAACTACCCTCCTATCAAGTAACCATTACCCATCCTAAAAAAGTATAAATAATTAGTTCCTAATTAAGAAAAACTTTTAGTAAGCCACACTCTCCAAAGCAGCGGACAGCCTTTACACAAAAAGGATATGATTCATAATCCAGTGTTTGAGTAAGTACCCCAGTCAGGACAAACTCAGCATTGTGGACATCTGAAAATATCAAATACATGCATACAGTTTACACCCTGCAAGGACATTCTTCCTCATTCGGCATGTGCATCAGGAGGGGCCATTCTGTACCCTTCCGCTCTTCACGCAAAGGTGTAAGGGGGTATTGCCCCACCACTACCAGGGCCCTACTGTTAGCCATCACACACTTCACACCGCAAATACTAGACTTCCCCATGCACGTCTTTGTTAATAAACACAGTATGCCTTGGGGTTCTACACGTTAAAACTCCAAACCTTTAACTAACTTAATGAATACTAAGACAGTAATTTTGTCTCAGGAAGGACAGAAGCCCCACATTCAAGCCTACCCCTCCAGCGATTTATGGTGACCCAGCTTTAAAATACCTCCATTAGAAACGCCTAGCAAACAGCTGGCTCAGACTGCTGCGTGGTTTGCAGGATAGACCACGTATTCCTCTATTATTATCTGAAAGCTTCAAAAGATGTCTACTTGTAAAATAATAGTATTAATAAAAAAATCAAAACAACACCTATACTGTTCGAATTACATTGACAGCTTATACATACCTATGCCTCTTGTGAAATATTCTCGACATAAGTGAAGATCATTTTCACAGGAAATCAAGATTATCTCAGGCAAACTCTAAACAAAAGAAACTAACTGTAAGCTCAGTATAACACAGTAAGACATTACCAGTAAATTTTAGAAAGCAACACTGTACACACTTTATTCTGCTTATGCTCCATGAGTTTTCGAAAAGAAGGTTGTTTAGATAATACTTTTCCTCCTGCACATTCCACAATAGCTTTCATGGTGGAAAGACTGGGACAAATTCCAGGTGTAATGTAAAAATATTTTCCCTAAAAAGAGAAAAGAAAGAATAAGTAAAAGCATTATTTTGTTAACTGACTTCTGCAAGACATCAAATTTTATTATCATGTGACTATTGTCTTATACAATAACATGGAAGGCTTTGTAAGCTGGTGTTAGGTACCACAGCTTATGGCAACAAATTCATCATCTGTTGAGTTATCCTTAATTACTACTGACCTGTTTTCCCTGGAGGGGCAAACCCACAAGTCTGATAAATCTGAACAGCTCAGTTGTGCCTAGTTCAAAACCTTTAAAATAGCAATCAGGAAACCTTCAAATGACCACACGTTAAACTATGATTAAAAAAAAAACCAAAAAAACAAAACTAAAAGGTAACTGCAGCTTGGTAAGACATACAAGAACAACAGTGCTCCTTGCTTCTACTGCACAGAGATGTCTCAAGTGTTGCAAAAGGATGTTTGGCTTTTAATCAAGAGCCAATGTATTACTTTCTGACAAAAATTATCTGACTGCTTGACTGAGACTGATACAGGTGATCAGATCACAAAGTAGATTACCTCTGTTTATCAGCTAGGAATAAAGAAAAAAAACCCCACTTGCTATTTAGACTGCAAAACTCAGTGAAATGTATTATTTAGACTTAATAAGAGACATAGATTCCTATTCATTACAAGTTGTAAAAATACCCTTTTTAGGTGGTTTGCCTCAATGAAGAGTCTCAAGTTCAGACAGGCTGAAGAATCTCTAGCAACTTGGATCTTCAGATACCTCTTTGCACTGTAACATAATTTTAACCGGAGGCATGAAAACCACCTTGCACCATCCTCACCAACAGTCTGGTGGTAAGTGCAGTCTTCGGTAAGAATCAAACAGCAACTCCCTGAGGCTGAAGTGCAAACTCACTCTCAGACTCTCATTTCTATGGGGCAAGCGCTCTGACTACCAGGCTGGTGTTAAAAAAAAAAGTCCCTTCTCTAAGTGGCATTTTACAAATAACAGAGCAATATTGTAGTTTTTGTAAGGGAAGAAATACTGTTAAGCGTACTGAGCTTATACCGAGCACATTTTGTTCATATCCACAGGACCCAGTCACTCAGAGGGCTTAGATCCATCCCAGCAATTCTTAGGCAGGAAGTAGGCATAAAGTAAAAAATAGAATTTATAACAGATGCTTATACGCTAGTCTGTTTTATTGCCCTTGGCCACAAAAGCTATCGTCCCAATGACGAAAACATTAGGTTGAAAAGCTCCAAGTATTTAAATGTCCTTTTAAACTGCATACCTTGAACAGTGGAGCTACTTGTGCTCTCTTTAGAGACTCCTCTAAACTAAAGCAGAATAGCACCTCAGCTTCAGCATCTCTGAGCACAAAGTTCTGCTCATCTGAAAAATAAGAAAGACCAATGATGAAATGCACGAAAGACAAAAACATCCACGTAACCCAGGATCTAATCTGATCAGAAAATGTTGGTGGCAGAGTGACTCTAAATGGTAAACACTCACTAATTTTAACATGATTATAATACTGCCTTTTATTAGGCACCTTACAAGGATGACCCATGATTACTTGGAGAATAAAATTGTCTACTTTACACTTGTGTATCTAGCAGTAACCACTGTCCTATAAAGTCCCTTTTCTAACTTACTGGAGTAATTTGCAGACTTTCATTTGTTGATTCTCCACAAAAACAGGAGCAGAACGATTCAGTTTAAGTTCAAATCACTGTGACAACCTACAGGAGCCCAGAAACTGTCTTCAACTCCTCAAGCAGCCTTAACAGAGCAAACTTTCCATCTGTTTCCCTTGTCCTGTTATTCAGCTGATTTTTCTTTTTTTATTAGGGATGGAATTTCAGTCTTAACTTCCACAAAAAGCTGTCAAACATATTTCTAAGTCAGATTTAATTCAGAACACCCAAGTTTAAAGAAAAAAAAAAAATTATATGGAGAACAAATCGGCCTTTCCAAGGACAACTCTGGCAACTTGCAAGAGATGGTGTTAATATTCTCCCATAAAACAAAGACAACCAATTTTTCTACACAACTGCCATGTTTGCCATCATAGTACTACGTACAAAAGCAAAGGCAGCCCATTAGCTACAGATTTACTGAGTTTCAGTAGACAAGTACTTCCAAGTCCTAGATCGAAAAAGTCATCCTTCTAAATCCCCAGACCTTCTTTACCTTCTAATAGCTTTCAAATGGATTGATTTCTCAGTTCACTGATGCTGAACCAAGCAAGTTGCCTTCCCCAGATTTATAAAAATGTTTGCTGGCTTTGTGGTTAATTATTCATAGATTTAAGTCTTTGTGATGGTTATGCAGCAATGTTATACATTTTCTCCTTACAAATAAATTACATAAAAAGCATAAAACAGTCATAAAACAAATAATCAGCCTTTAAGAAGATTTCCTTCAGACCCAACATCCGTGTCAAACAGACCAAAACCATCTATTTCGTTATTTTCACAGAAAAGCAGTGTAAACACAAAATTGGTATCTTCCAACCCAGTTACAGTACTAGACCTATTAACTTTAATTAGTTAAATATATTTTTGTATGTATTTCCAAAAGTGGCATTGAAACCAAAAGCAGTTGGGGCTTTAAAAGTAACCTAACCATAGGTAAAAATCTGCAGATGTCTGTACAAGACATACAATGCTTAACAACATCCAACCACTTAATCACCTCACCGCCTTAAAGTAAACTTTCAAAGTATTTTTTTTACTTCATTTAATGCAAAGAAACTGTGTTAAATCAGATGAAAACTAAATGAAACAAAATGTTCTACTGAAAGAGAAATTAATTAAAAGAAATACATAATTTCTTCTTACTTATTTAAAAATACTAACTTTTTAACGGCTTTATTTAAAAATACTAACATAACCTTCTACCTCAAGTGAAATATGAGCTAGTACAATTGTTTAAACATAACATGAGTTATGAACTACACTAGTCAGATTTGCTGTAGAAAGCAGAAATCTCTGCTTTCAAAACTGAACTCTTCAGAAAACCGGCAAGAGACACTGAAGTCAGAAGTCTATTTAAATGCACATGCCATCTTCACATACTTAAACCAACAAACCTTATGTTCACTATAGAAGTTTTATTAGATACTAGTTTTACTTACCAATAAACTTCTGGCATTTGAAACATTCTTCTAACCACTCTGGAGTCACTATGTGCTTGACTACAGAAATTGCTGTCAGGAATTTGACAGTTCGGGTCACTTTACTGGCAATTAGATGGGTGCATTTCTGGGCAGATTCTGCTACTTCACCTCCAAGGATATACAGTTTCTGAAAGTTGTACAAAACACAAATCAGAATGGAATAGTCCTTTAGAAATTGGAGGGAATAAAATGAAGAATCATAACATCACCATCAAATTAAACTAAGCTCCTAATGAAACAACAAACATAGGCAATTTCTGTATTACAGTCATTCCTGAAACTGATTCATTTTGATAGAATTTACAGCCTTTGAAAATCCAGGTATTTCCAGACATAAATTGCATCTGGCAAGACTGAAATCTACATTCCACTTCTGCATTTTTTTTAGTTTTTGATTGTGTTTTAAGCAAGGAAATAACTGTAAGATAAAAATTAAAAATTTTAAGAAATATGCTATTAAATTTAAGTAAGCAGAAAATATAATAATTTTGATCTTTTCTATAGCAGGTATAACATACACTGTAGCTATGGTAAACTTAATTTTGCTAGTCTTTTCTTCAAAAAGAAAAGCATCTCATGAAAAACATGTATTCTTTAAATGCACTAATTCCACATGTATTTTTCATGATACTGAGCAAGTATCTTTTTTTCCTTGGTTTGAACTACCAAACCCAAACTAACTCACCTCAGTTACTGTCTTGTCAGTTAAAGATACAAATCCTTATCTGGAGGGATCGGTAATACAACTAATCAACTGGTGAGGCATATTGAATTGCCATAGGTGTTAGTTACAATAAATAGCGCTTCCTCCCATAAAAATTTAAAGAATAAAAAAATATTTGGACAATTTTAGTATCTATGTGCCATAGATTTCTGATTTTCCTTTACAAGCATTTTGTACAAACAAATAAAAACCCCACCAATATGTCTAAGTATAAATATTGAACATACTAGGGTGATTTTATTACATCAGCCATCAGGCGTCACAAATGCAGGAAAGCCTACTGGGTGTATTACAAACCTTAAAAGATTTCTGGCATCCCTCTGTACTCTACTGCTCTGATAATAAGGAACAAGTAGGATAGGCAAGGACAGTGTTTTAAACTTTTCTTTACTATGTTGGCTTACTTTGACAGTTTGCATAGAGATAATACACAAAGTATTATTCGATGACACTGAACCTCTCTACTAGTTATTTCCTTCATGGTATGTATAAACACATTGTGAATAGCACACTCCTACACCTATGAAAGGCAAAGGCTGTTATTTTCATAGTTACATGTTCAGCTCAAACACTGTATGTATGCCTACGACTGCAGATCTTGCAAGATTTCCATTCTGATGTTCAAGGAACCCTTTGGGCATACAGGAAAAAAGATGACCCCTCCATCTCAAGAAGATAAGAAGTATCCAGCCTCAGCTAGGAATCCAAACTCTGAAAGGTCTTGACGCTATCATCACCGCCAAGTTTAGATTCAATTTCATAAGCCCTGAGGCTGAACTTCATTTTTTACATTTGTGACCCATAGGTGTTACCAAAACAGATTCTCCATGTAATTAACCCAGTACCAACATGACAGAAAATGAGGAACTGACACTGGAACTTTATGGGACATACTAAAAATATTTTATGTTCTAAAATATTTAGTCTCAAGCTTCAAATGCAAACACTGCAAGGGAAAAATACTACGAAGTCCAACTACCTAAAAACAAGTCCAGGTAATAATAAAGACGACATTAGGTATTTTTGAGCACACCGAAGTGATGCTATTTCTAAGAAACATACCAGACTCGCACTAGGCCTCATTTACTTTTGATTATCTGGAGCAGGCATCACTGGCAGGATCCTTCATGCACTACTGAGGTCAGCTGTTAAAAAAACCCTGTGCCTCAAACTTCAGCCAACATGTGAAAAATAACATAAATGAAAAGTTCTTTTGGAATAAATATTTAGTAATTATTAAGATTCAAGGAATGACTGGATTTTTTACACTGTTCTTTAACAGTTTCATTTAGAATTAAGTTTTGGGACAGCTTTATTAGGGAACAGAACAAAATCTCCATAGGAACTTATCATCTCACTCCTGCCATAAGCTTTGTCATCAGCTTTCTTTGAAGCATTTGGCATTACAGATAGCAACTGCACTAGAATAATCTTGTGTCTTGTCCAGTACAACTATCACTACTTTTCTCACCTAAATTTGGTCATGAAGTTTGCCGCTTAAATGTGGATGGGGCTTTCTTGCTTTTTAAAACAATCATACAGCAATAAAAACCAAGTAGCACAGAAGTATGAAATAGTTAACTGAAGCCAAACAGTTACCAAATAAAACTCATTTCATATAGATCTACGCTCTAACCTCAGCCCCAGGAAGTACGGGTTTTTGTCCACTAGATGCATGCTAATCAAGTCTTAGACAGCAAAAATTCAACATTAAGAAAAAAGTTATCAGATGTTTCAATGTAGTTAGCAAGAGATAAGCATAAACGTCACCTTAATGTACTGTTGAACTTGCATAGGTTCAAATCCTGTGAAGAGCACCATTGGTGTCAATTCTGGGGTGAGCTTTTTAGTAGGTGGTGGTAGGTCTTCAATCCTACAAAATACAAGAAACACAGCAGAATGTGAAGTTTGGGCCCAAAGTTTTTATTATTACTGTTTTGGTTTTTTGTTTTTTTGGGGTTTTTTTTTAAATTACACAAGTACACTCTTGCAACTTTTACCAATGGAAGTACTCAAATGAATGAGAAATAGACAGGATCAATCTTCTTCTGAAGAAAAAGTTTCTATGCTGAGAACAGGACATATTCTCCTATTTCTGTTCTCTTGCAATTCTCTTACTGCTTCGAAACCTTCTAGTTACTATTTTATTCCTGCCAGTTGAGTAGCTGGCAAAATGCAAAAAACACCGCTATTTATTTCAACGCACAGGGCACAGGATGGAATTTTTTCTGTAGAAAAGTAAATTAAGGACTACCAGCACTGATTGCTCACTATTCTTACCTTGGTCTTTTGGAAGACGGCTGAAGACTGGATTCATTTTGCTTTGGTTTCAAAGGCAACCTCACACCCTGAAATTAGATCATCTACATGTTTATATCTGAATTGAGCAGGGAAACCAACTTGTATTCTCAGACAAAAACTATCCACCAATATGCTAAGACTATATTAAAGAAAATTAAACACAACTGAAAAAGGCATGCTACTGAATGCATACTGGTACGTCTACTGCTTACACAACTGACTCAAGAGCAAAGCTGAGCAATAACCAAAGCTTCTCCATAAAGTTATGTAAACATTCATGTAAACATCACCTAAAATATTGTGGGACTTTTTTTTCTATTAAATAAAGCTGATAATCATCAATGGAAACCCCAAATAATTAAATGAGAAAAAGACTGAAATACCTGTCCATTTGTTAAACGCATGAAGACTACACTATTCTTCCAGGTGCTTAAATATCAACTGGCACCTGCATTTCAAGCACTCAAGTTGCCTGGCTACATAAACAGAAGCTCCAGTGGATGCTCAGGTACTCACTGGATAGACACTCCCACCTCCCCAGTACTAGATCAGCCACTAGGGCAGTTGCCCAGGAGTAGAGAAATGCAGCTTTTAGGCTCTCCCTGGCCTGCGTAACTTGAAATCACAACTCTCACTTGCACGAGCACGTAACATCTATTCCTTTTTAACATTCAAATCTACACCTGAAATTTAATGAGGAATGCTAGAGGTACATGACCATAAAGTCAGGCAGCATTACTCCAGCCTCCCTTTGGGAGGGACAGGGTTTGCTCCCTGCTCTCAGGGATGTGCTTTTTTATACTAGACAAACACTAGCAAGAGCAGCTGGAAAGAAAAGCGCACACACTCACTTTTTCATAGACATTTCAACTCTATCCAAAAGGTAAATGGCATCAACACCATCTGACAGACAGCTGTCCTCAAAAGAAGACCCCATATTTTAAATCCCAATATTAACAGAAATGCCTACTGTGAAGGCAACGAAGTACCTTGTCTGACACACCCAGCATTTTCTATTACCCCATCATATTTTTCATACGTGGGCATCCTGAGGAGAGCTGGACATGATAACCTCCAGAAGTCTCCTTCAATTGAAGTTACAACATCTTCTTTTCACGTGGGCAAGAAGGGTCCCCGTACAGTAAATACAGAAAGGGAGGTACTAAATTCAGCTGTCTGACACCTAAGTTCTCTCCATTTGCTACATAAGATAAAACATGGATGACGACCTGGTCTGACAGTCACTCAAAGAAGGCACATGCCCAATTTTAGGATGAGCTCAACTGCAGTGTGGACACAAAGGGTTGTAACAAACCCAAAACTGAGATAGTAAAAAGCTATTTTAAATATTCATAGTGCATACTGAATCTCTTCAAGGATTTTTTTATTTTGCCACTAGTAGAATGCATCCTTCTTCAGGAAAATATGAAGCACACAAATTTTTAAACGCAGCTAATTTCCTAAAAATTAGTTACCTATAGGCTCACAAAACAATTCCACAGGGGTCTATAAGTAAAAGAAGATTTCAAACTTATGGCCAGGGATATAGTAGTGGCTATTTCTAATGCTGAAAGGTATTAAAACAACAAATAGTGCCGAGACCCCATTTAAAGTATTAGTACAAATTAAGTTATGACAGTTACTAAGCTCCTCTTTCCTAAAGAGTATATGAAACAATTGAGATAAAAAGGGATCCAGAACACAAGATGTGTGACAAAACATGTTTGTACAGTATAAAATGTTATCTGACAGTCATCTGTTGTACAAATGAACTGAAAGCTCACTAGCTCAAATTGGGATCTACCTACATCAAGACAGACGCTGTGAAAACAGTCATAAAGTATAAATTTGAAATGGGAAGGGAATTTACAATACAAAAACTGAAATAGTTTTCTACATATTCAAAACAAGGAAACAGCTCAGAAGATAAGTTGCAGTTTCAACCTCACCTCTTACACCTCTCATGTTTTGCATGTTTCACAGAATACACTACATGACAAAAAAATACATATTTTGTATCTTAATTTTAAGGTACACTCTTCGTATCCTTACTGTTGTTTGGTCACACTGTTATTTCCAGTGTTATCAACTACACTTTTTAATGCAAGATATATTTTTAAATTATAAAATATATGGTATGGATGCCCATAGTTTTAGTTCTTAGACTATTTCAAACAGATGATATAAAGCAGTTCCACCCTTAATTTACATTATCTATCCTATTTAAAATTGAGTTAATATACTAACAAAATTCTTACTGATTTTCGGTCCTCTGCCTTAAAAACCCTTATGTGGCCTGATTTTCAGATAGCGTTAGGTACTGACTCAAAAACTACTAAGCCCTTTCTAAAGGTCTGATATAAAAATTGAAGAGTGAAGCACTAGCCCAAGATGTCTCAAAAGTAACCTGATTTTATATATCACAGTGCAACTTCTTAGTTCTGCAAAAGTTTATTTCTCAGAGAGAACACTAGCAGGAAGTACAGCCAGGAGGTTCAGTGTGGGTCTGCCTAAGTCCCTCTGGCATGTTCCTCACACCATATAAACATGTGCTCACCCATTAAAAATACTAAAGAGTAATCTTATAAAAATAGCTGTATATATGCAATAATTCAACATACCATTAGAAGTTCTGGTGATACCTTTAATGGGACCCTCCAAGCATCTAGCAAACAAAGAACAAAACAAAAATGAAACCATTGCAAAGTTATTTAAAATGCAAGACCCATGCTTCTATTGATTATATATATATAAAAAAGCTACAGGAATGTATATATATATAAAAGCTACAGAACACAGGATTTTGGGACTGGAACTCTTACCCAAAAGGTTTAGAACTAGATGTTGGCTAGGAGAAAGCGGATCTTGAAGACTGAATACTGTATACCGACTGTGCTGTATCTGCCGTAAAGCTTCAAAATTTCCTAGCAGTATGTCACAGAGCCACTGCGCATTCACACATGGTATTCTCCACTCTTTAGCTTTCTCATACTTCAAGCCACTCGGCCTTATTGTTCAGAGATGAAAAAAAAAATTCTATTTCAATAAAATAGGTAAAATAGCAATTTCCAATAACAAACTTAAAATACCAGTATTTCTATGTTGGCCTATTATCTATTTTAAATGTGACAAAGTAGATACACTGAAAAAATACTTTTGCTTTACATGCTAGAACCAGTTAATCAGGGGAGTATTTCTGCCCCAAATGGAATCAAGTTAGACCTGGATTTAACTTAATTTTTCCTCCCCCAACATTATGAAACAATTATATATTAAAAAAAGACATTTTACTTTTAGATGACCTAACAGTCAGCATCACTTATAAAATACTGTAAAACAGTGAGATTAGAATTACATTTCTTTTGCCTGTCTTCACAAGGCCAAATTTATCACGTAACAGTGTGCAGTAATTTAGTTCAAGAAACGACATCACTAAGCTCATTGCTATCAAATCACAAAATTGATTAAAATTAACATTCTTATTATGAGATGTAATTAGCACCTCCCATTAACTGGCAAAAGGCAACTGAGAACGTGAGTACTGCAGACAAACCACTTACTCTTTACAGATGAGAACTGTATTGCTGCGACACAGGTAGCCTGTGTATTTGGCACCTGCTAGGTAGGCCATTAGTTTGAGGTCATCTCTGTCACTATCAACAAATCCTGTCACAGAGATTATCTACAGACAGAAAGAGACAATTACAAATAACTGAACATAGATGGTACTTACCAGACACTCCTGTTGAAAATATTTTTCTGTTACTAACTTTTTCAACAGTGCAATATATAGCATCATAACTATGGCATATAGGCACTTAATTAAAACCTGGCTTGTAGGATACATAAAGTAGAATTTAAAAGTGATTTGTTTATACATAAACATTTCAAGTTGCCAGCACTAGTTCTGACTCAGCAAGAGTTTTTTTTCATTCTGCCGGTCAGCTTTCTCTCATTTATAAAGACTACAGTTTTACTATGAAAGAACTCACAGCTAGTTTTCTTCCCGCATATGTCTCATTTCTTTCTTCTGCTGCTGTTTATATTCAGGGAGAGAGATAACACTTATACTTACTTGCTCTACTCTTTTAAAAAAATCTCCTGAGCACTCTGATCTACCCTGCCATGAAGCCAAATAAACTGTGCCAGCTGATCATAGGTGGTGAACTGTAATTCCACCTCTCCCATTCATATCCTTTGTCTAGCCAAGTTTTCATTTTTGCCACTCTCCTTTTATTTAGGAAAAGGCAACAGCAATGTTGTTGTTGATAATAAACTGTATTATTACATTACATATTACATTTACTGCTAACCACGGTGTTCACATGCATACTGCCATATTCTGATTTTCCCAAACTTTTATTTCTTTTTGTCTTTTAGAACAGGCTAGTAGCAAGGCCATCATCCCGTATGTCGGCATCCAGCACAAAGAAATCCAATGCCAAGACATACTTTGGCATCTTTTTTTATGTTGCACAGTGTATTTCAAGATGCATCCGATTCGACTGCAAGTTTAAGTTTCTTGCTACATATAACTCACGTAATCTTCGCACCTCACTTTCTCAGAGAGTGATTCACAAACACAGGTGTTATTCCTCACCACTCGGAACTCAGTAAGACTTGCAAAGCACTCTGTATGCACCACATCAACACAGGACCCTCAGATTAACAGAAGCTTTTATTCCAAGACAAAAGAAATATGTATTTTGCTTTGAGTAAGCACTTTCTAGCTATATTTTAATACTGGTCATGTAACGAACCAAGCATTTGTTAGAAGTAAACTTTTTCTTCTTACATGTTGAGAGCATGGCTTTCCTCCTGGTGGAAATGCCACTGGAAAATGAAGGGCTCGATGAGGTGGTACCATTTTCTTCTTTTTCAAGATTGAGTTCAGCCAATGTGCTGTAATACATCTCTTCCTTTCTCTTAAAGCCTATGAATATATGCATAAACAGCTTTTAAAAACCAGAATACATTTTTATGTTAATCTCCTTCTGCAACAGAAAGTTTTATTTTAATTGTTTGTTATTCTCTACTTTTCCAGGATCCTTCTTCTCATAGCATCTTCCTCAGTGTTCTCTGGAATAAGTCTACTACATGCATTACGGAAGTTTGCTATACCATAAACCCCAAATCACAAAAAAGCACATCATGAAAAACTTTTATACTTGCAAACTAAGAAAGAAGTACATACTGAAAAGCCCTACCTTTCCCGTAATAAAATGAAAGCATGGATGAATGCACGTTACTAGTTTGCTTACCTGAGCATACATGTTACTGACTTGGCTTTCACAAAGAAGATGTGTACATCTGCTTGTAAGGGTAGGGTCCACTGTCCCACCATGTGCTTGAATGATCTGGTAAGAGAACAAACCCAAAACTTCTCATATATGTAACAATTTTTTAAATTACCCTAAGAATCAAACAGTCTGAAATTAAAGTCTACTCTTTAGGACACTGCCACCATTAGCACCATTTCACTGAAGAGTTAACCCCCCAAAAAGGTTTGTTGTCTAGGTTAAAAACATTTTTGAAAAAAAAAAGGAGAAAACAAAATTAAATATGCACCTTTTCACTGAGCTACAAAAAGTCTTATTTTTTCAGAATCAATTAAAAAAAACAAATAAAGATATATAAACAAAAATAACCCTTCTCACATTTTTTTATTTTTTGCAGTATAACTATTAAACAGTTTTTCATGAACTATTTAATTCTATTTCAGCAATAAACACAAGTGCTGTTAAAAATGTCAACAGCTTACTTGATTATGCAAAATTGGAGGGAAAATTCAACTATAAAATCCATCAGAAGTTTCTGAAGAACATCAAAGTCCTCTCATTTAGGAAAGGATACAATCAGATTTTTCTGAAAAATAGAAGTTGGCAAAAAATAGAAACACTCTATTCCTCCATCTTATTCACTCAGGTGGATACCTCACAGGCTATTAAATGCCAAAATTATATGCAAAAAAGAGGGTTTTTTAATACAATCAAGTTAAAGTTAGAGAGCAATAGAATATTACATTTGCTGCACTACAGCTGCCTGATTAAAAGCATAAATAGTCAGGAAATAGTTAAGACTATAACTTACTTAGCCAATGTTCTGACTAAAGACCTAATTCAATCAGGCTGCACATCTAAAGCATTTTTATTACTTTTTCTGGTCAGCTGCAGTTGAACAATGACTTTTAGGTTGTAACATAAACATTACACAAAAAGATGCCTAAAGAAAAGGGAACAGTGCTGAAATACTTCCAATCATTCTTCTTAGAATTTAGTTACTATGACATTATGTTATCATAGTTTTTAAAAATACAGCAGAATCTTACCCGTTTCCAGGTCGCTAACAGCTGTTTGTCAGACATCTGTTCTGGGTAATCAGCAATTGCAAAGACACAGCCCAGTAGGAAATACTCTTCTGGAACTGGAATAGTTTGGCACATAAAAGAACAAAAAATTTAATACTTACAAGTCTGAAGAGTTCATCTCAGAACATATTAGCTACGCTAATCTTTCCTATTACCAGGTTATAAACATCATTCAATTTTGAAGTAAATCTTTCTTGGAAAAAGTAGGGGTTGTTTTTGTTCTGGGCGTTTTTTTTCCCTGGAGCAAGGGGGACTAAAAGGATAGAAGGAAGGGGCACCACAAGGAAAACACAAGACAACGATTTACTCTTTTATACAGAACAGCTACAAATAGCCAAAATGATCAAAAAGCTTTCAGTTCTACTAGCATGGACAGAATTCAAAGCAAGGTATGACAACGTTCTATCTGATACTAAGTTAATTCATTAATTTATTAGTATTTCCAAAATTTAAGCTGTCTTTCCAGTTTTTAGCCTCTTTGAAAGCTTCCCCTTTCCCCTTCCAAAGGAAAATAAAAATTAAAATTGTATGGTATGCATAGACTAACACTGTTCTCATAGCATAATTTATATGCTAGTGGCATAAAGTATATCTTTGACAAGAGAAAGTTCCTGCTCCCAGGCCTTTCAGATTTCTGGATCATCCTTAGTTACAATTTAGATCCATTTGCCTAAAAATTAGTAAAACAGGTCCTGAGCCATGAATGGTGTTTCTAAGTCTTACAATCCCATACCGTATACGCAGCATTATTTTTTGATATTCTAACTCGTATTATGTCATTAGCCACTTTTTCCCAGGATCAGAAGGCAATAATTACTAACTCTCTGCTGCTGGATCGTGTCCAAAAAGCGGCTGCTGTTGCAGTTGCTGCTGTTGCTGCTGGTGGTGTTGTGGCTGCTGGGCTGCAATTTGATGCTGTAGTGCTTGAGATGTCTGAGTTAAGTGTGGTGTTGCCTGATTCTGCATTTGCTGTTGCTGATGCTGTTGGTGTAATCGCTGTAAGTGCTGCTGCTGCAATTGCTGCTGCTGTATTTGCTGCTGCTGATGCTGTAGCTGTTGTTGTTGCAGATTCTGTTGCTGTAGCTGTTGCAATTGTTGCTGCTGTAGCTGCTGCTGCTGCAACTGATGAAGTTGCTGTTGCAAAGCATGCTGCTGCTGGAACTGGAGCTGTTGCTGAGGACGGTGTAGCTGCTGTTGAGCATGTAACTGCTGCTGTGGAAACTGAAGCTGCTGTTGCGCGAACTGGTGCTGCTGATGAACTTGCTGTTGCTGTTGTGAAAACTGATGAGGCTGTTGCTGTTGGAAAGACTGCTGGGAAATCTGGGGTTGCTGCTGCTGCTGTTGTAGCTGCATAAGTTGTTGAGGTTGAAGGTGTAAAAGAGGATGGTGCTGTTGTTGCTGTGCTTGATGCGACTGCTGTAATAAATGTGTCTCTGGCGTCAGTTTCACTTGACTAAACAGCACCGCATTTGGATGTCCCTGTTGGCTATGATTTACTTGTTGTTCTAAACCTTTTGTAGGTGCTGAAAGTGATTGTAATATCTAGAAAAGAAAGATTAGTTTTGTGACCTTTTTGTTGTCATTCAGTTTTAAAAATATTTGAAGAACTACTGGGAAAATACAATTCTCTAAAAAAAAAACCACCCTATGCTTAAGTATTTTGTGAGCTAAACAAAAATCTTTAACTGTTAATAGCAAAATGAACAAGACTTACACACAGAAAACCACGGCGCTACATGTGGCTCCTAATATAAGGCAATGCACATTTTAGCAAAATTTAAACCCTATCCCTGTATTATTGATGATATCTCCAATAGCATTATGACTATTAGCACTATATTAATAACTTCACTGATTAACTCAATCAACCGTACTATTTATTTGACAATCCTGTTGGCCCATTAAGTTCAAAGGTTAGTTCCATAGGCTCATTTTCTTTAACTTAAAAATTGCTAATAATGCCTCTACTAATTAGTGCTGTTTGAAACATGGGAACTTAATACAACCTTGTTTGTTTCTGAAGCAATTCAGGAATATTCAGCTCTATGTTTTAAAATGAATCCCAGAATACAAAGAAAAACATTGACTTGCTTAGCACTAATAGTTTCTTGAGGGAAAAAAACACCATTCTTAAGAATAATAGATTTTAGGTTTATACAGAGTGCTGAAGTTATCTGGAGTTTAATTTCATGTGAGATGTATTACTCTCTGTTAAGGGAAAAATCATTTCACACTAAGCAGACACAGTTAGAAAGTGAGTTTTTAAAGCATCAGCAAAAATGAGGCAAATTTCTAATAGACTAGGATGAGTTCTACATATTTATTAAAATATTTTAATATAAACTACCAATTAAATATTAGAAGGAGCAATAGGAAATTCTAGACTTGCCATTCATAAAGTCTTAAACATGGAAACAGCTTTGGCGAATCCTGCAAGGCTCGTTTCCTTCACCCACACTATTTCACCACATACAGTGTAAACTTCAGTGACGTGTGTGTGCGACAGAGATGAATCAAAGCACATCACTAAAACACAAAGCCCATTAACTGTATCCTCTCAATGAGAGGTCCATCAACTCTTCATCTGAGGTGGCTCTCGTGTTGCACTTCAAAACATCTCAGATTTCAGCTACGTAATTGTGATGATGTTGGTATAGCATACATTTACAACCACAATCACCCATCACTAATGTCTAGGCAGCACCACAGTATAAACATTCAATAACTAAAAATAACATACACAGAAAGAATGTTTCCGTGGCTCAGTATGAGATATCTTCATGCTGCTGTCCACAAAAAGTCCCAAAAGTCAAAATTACAGAAACACGTATTTCAAAATGAAGGGATAAGACTTTCCAAAGTATCCTAGGGTTACATTCAGAAAGTAACTTTGTATCTGCAAAATGCCTTATTATTATAGATCTCGCCATTCCGCAGAAATCTGAGGTTCAAATTAAAAATTAACTTTCCAAGATCGTGCATCATGACATGGAATCCACCCAAGACTGGTACCCAAGCAGGATATAAAGTACAACTTAACCTAGCCAGAAAGAAGTTATAAGGAAAAAGGTAGAATCAGTATTCCTCTCTCCAGGAAGCACATGCACAATTCTAAGATGCACAGCTTTTCTCCGCACGCTGAAGCTAGCACTGCAACCCATACAGCATCCCGATAGGATACTTCAGAACAGTCCTGGCACACCACAGTCAAGTCCCTAGTCTAAAAGACTTTTGGAGAACGAAGTCTAGCCGAAGCACGGTACCATCAACTGCCCTGTAGCTCTATAATATCACTTACAGAAAAATACTTCCACAGGGGCACCACTAAAGAGTATTTGATAGTTTAACGATTGTGTTGTAGATGTGGTGTTCAAACATGAAGGCATCAGACAACTTACCAGCACTGGCCAACTGACCAGGACTTCGGCGGTTCTGTTCAGTCCTTACTCAGAAGTCTCAGACCTTAAAACAATTCAAGGCACTGAGAAGAGGAATCTAAGACTCAGTTTTAAAAGGAAGCCTGCATTTCTGTTTCATATTGCGAAGTCATATAGACAACAAAGAACCAACATTTCTGAGTGACTCCACTTTTTGTGTGCAAGTACTAGCTCTAAGCTTCTGTATTCTTCAGGCACCTTTGAAAGTTTTATCTTCAGATGAACAACCAAACAGACGCACCGGTACAATTATTTAAGTAAAAGATATGTCTAACATTTCCCAGCACCTACTTTTCTCACATTCCCTTCTCATGAACATCTTAGAATTTCAATTCTGCAATTTATTTCAGTGCATGCTCACTCGCTTTTTATTTTCTTCTAAAAATAAATTCAGTACAAAAGTTGCAGTTATTTCAACTATACGAGTGGCGTAAGAACTTCAAAGTTAGGACTTCTGCATCATAACCCTGACTATACTATACAACAACTTAATGATGCCCAGCAGAACACCACAGTATAGAACTGAACCTACTGTGAGAACAATCTTTTCCACAGTTTTATGTGTTTATAGCACAAATAATTCCTTGCACTGAATAAAAAGCTTGAAGAGTATGAAATGAGGTTTCCTGAACTAACCAAATAATTCTAAATTAATGAATTTTCTTTTTGCTCTTACCAAGAAATCAATATTGAAGCTCTAAACCACTCCACAGTTAAACACAGCTTTACTCTTCCAAACATTTTTTCCAAATCCATTCTCACTTCTGTGAACCAGCTAGGAATTAAGTTACTTATTATGGGGAGGTTACTAATTTGGCCACAACTTCCAGGTAGTACAAAGAATTTTTAACCATTTGTACATTTAAAGAACAATAAAATGAAATCGAAGCTCCTGAATATGATACAGTTCCTAAGAAGTCATCCAATATCTTATAAATTAAAAATCCAACACTTACATGTGCTACATTTGATGGTCTATTAATCTGCTGAATATCAGCACTATTAGTAATATTCCTTAATGTCCGCACAGCTGGACTCCACGTAGCCATCATTTCCTGTCGATCAGAACTTTGGGCACCTTGTACTGAAGCCATTAGATTGCCTCTCATATCTGGAGGCAAAATATTACCTGGCACAGGTGGCACATTGGCACATAAATTAATTAAGCCGGAGTCTTTCCCTTGGGGCAACCTACGCTTTGCTGCAGATGCCTGTGGGATTTCAGCTGGTGTCCAATTCAAATTCCTTTCTTGCTTTTCTGGAGAGGAATCTGAAGAATCATCAAACATCAATTCCCCTTTTGCCTTATCCGCAGTAGTAGATTTTGGTGAAAAAACTTGATCACCCAAAGGTGATCCTTCTCGAGAAGATGGTGGGCTTGATAATTTTTCATCAGTACTAGCTTCATTTTGAGAATCTTGTTCTTCATTTTCTGCTTCTTCCTCCTCTTCCTCTTCCTCCTCTTCTTCTTCCTCGTATATAATTAAACGAGGATGATAAGAAGTCTCTTCTTTTTTAGTCTTATCAGCTATAGAATCCAGTACCCAGTCTGGTGTTACAATTTTAATGCTGTCCCGTTTACAAGCACATTCATATTTTTCCTGGGGGGGAAAAAAGGAAAAATATTTAAAGACAAAAAAATCCCAAATAACTTTTTTGAGAGCAGGGCTAGAGCATGAGAAGGCAGATCACAAAAGGCTGTCCAATAACAGTGATTTCTCTATCTATGTCCACTAACAGTGATCTCTCCCAGAACCAACAGGACAAACTACACTGCTGCGTGTAACCTCAAGTTCCAAGAGATTAAAACAAAAATCTCCACACGTATGAGATAAAGGACTCAGAACGCACAACTGCAGAAGATGAAATCTTCACCTGCAGAAACACCACTACCTAAATTCTTCCCAAACCCAATCACCAAAGCATTTGAAAATCATGAAATTCATTTCTGAACAAGCCTTCAGAACTCCAGCAGCTAGGAACATCACAGCCAATACTAAGATGCAACTCATTTTTAGGTAGACATTAAGGTGAGTCTAAATACAGTTTATACTTACATTTTCTCCACTAAAAAAAGAAAAAAAAAATCCACAAAACCCAAACAAACAAAAAAACCCACCATGAAAAAGCACGTAGGCAAAAATCAGAATTTCAAAACAAAGACATATATTTACAAGGTGATCACTGAAAAAATGCATTTCACCAGAAATACAAATCAGAAACTGACTGGATATTTCCCATACACCTTCTCAGAAGCTGCAAACTGTAATGTTGCCCTCAAATTGAAAGTTACACTTCTATCCAAATATTAGTTAAATCCACTTCAATGAGAGGTTACGATGCTGACCAAGTAGAAAATTTTATCTCTTCCTCATCATTTCATCATTTGAGGATATATACAAATATTAAAACTTCACTGTTTCCTTTCCCAAGAAACAGAAATAGATATGGGATCAGCACTCTATTTATTCAAACATCCTCTTTGATGGAAACCCCTCACAAATTTCAAGACAGTGGGGGGAAAAAAAAAGAAAACTTTCTAAGATTTGAAACTAATTTCAGGATCTAATATTTAAAGGTGATTGAACTGGGATTTTCTTTGTATGTCAAACAGTATAAATTAACAATTAGCACATTCAGAGGAAATTAATTTAATGATTCTCTAGAGTTATTTCCTAAAATGAACTGTCATTCATACACAATAAAGAGATTACAGATGAAACCAAGTTTATTTGCAAATACGAGTTTTCATTCTTCTTTTGTGGTTAGAATTATTAAGAATCTTGTTTTATCATCTTGTGAATCATCAATCGTTTAAGTTTTCACTAGTGTCAAAACTGTTCTTATTACGAACTGCTGCAGATTCCCTTGTAGTAGTTTGTCACAGCAGCAGAACTAGAAGCATTTTAAATAATCACCCTATAAAATTGTTCCCATCCCATGATTACATAAATTAAACAAGATATTTATTTTGGACCCCAGGTTTGGGACTGGGTGATGTTCACTTGGCAGTGCTAGGTTAACGGTTGGACTTGATCTTAAACATCTTTTCCAACCTAAATGATTCTATGATTCTATATGAAATGCTAATGTGTTTTTTCTCCAGTTTCTTGACTGGCAGGCTCAAAACAACAACATCCTCTGCTCTAAAAAGCTTATGATTTAAGGCAATACTTCTTAAATGTGTATCACTGCCTCTTAAAAACACCATTTTAGGTAGAAAAGCTCTTTGTCCAAGCATTACGTTTTGTTGTGATGGAGGAGACAAGTAGGGTGGTGTTCTGTACACCCTTCTAAATCTTCCACAGAAGAAAGATCATGCACTTAAAAAAAACCCAAAACAAAGAAAAAACACACACCAAAAAAAACCAACCCCCCCCAAACCTACAAAGATTCTTATAGTTTTAAATTAAACAGGGAAGAGAAAGCAAGCATTCCCCATGTCCACACTTTCTCTTCTCCTAATGCCAGCCCATGTTTTATTCTAAAGCACTTTCCTATGTATTGCATGCATAAATTTATTGTCATCCTACTAGCCATGTGTTTTTCTCTTAGTATTAGATAGTTTACTTTAACTCCAAAATATGAAAAGGGTCATTGGTGGGACAGTAATATACTCAATTTGTATAAAACAGCATTAGAAACTTGACAAAGTTTTACAGATCTATGTAAGGAGGTAGTGTATAGAACCTGATCTTAGAGTCACTCATATTCCAATAGCTAACCTGGGTGACCCCTCCCACTGATTTGAAATTTAAAACAATGGTGATGGAAATGTGCTCATGTTATTAAAGGACAAAAAATAAAACACAAAAAACAAAATCAAAAACTTGCTCCATCCACCATGTTAACTAACAGCATCCAAGCAATCATTTTTAAGTGAGCTTCAATCTGTTTTAAGTATTTTCAGTCTCTGAACAACGGCACTAAATCAATTACAAGTATCTTTCTTCTTCAGGAAAAGGAGTACCTGAACACATAACCAAAGCATTACTGGCATTATAGTAGAGGAGGGTGTTCCGATGTGCTCAATGCTGCTTTTAGCCAGTTACCTGATCTTTCTGATACAGTTTCTCCATTTGCATAAAGACAGACACATCTGACTGACTACTCCCATGTAGGGAGTAGATGATACTCAATTAGGAGGAGATGTGGACCCCCTTGAGGGTAGAGAGGCCTCACACAGAGCTGGGCAGTCACCAACCATTTGAAATTTAACACGAACAAATGTCGGATTCGGCACCCAGGATGGGATAATCCCGGTTATACGTACAAGCTGGGGGACAAGAGGCTGGGGAGAAGCCCTGCGGAAAGAGATATGGGGGTCTGGGTTGATGGTAAGTTGAATATGAGTCAACAGTGTGCCTTGCCAGTCAAAAAGGCCAACCATGTCCTCAGGTGCATCAAGCACATCACAGCAAGCTGGTCAAGGAAGGTGACTGTCCCACTCTACACTGCACTAGTACAGCCCCACCTCAAGTACTGTGTGCAGTTTTGGGTGCCTCTATATAAGAATGACATCAAATTATCAGAGTGTATCCAGAGTAGGATGACCAAGACAGTGAGAGGTCTCGAGGGCACGATTTATGAGTAGCAGCTGAGGTCACTTGGTTTGTTCAGCTTGGAAAAGAGAAGGCTGAGGGGTGCCCTCATCACAGTCTACAACTCCCTCAAGGGGGGCAGCGGAGGGGGAGGTGCTGATCTCCTCTCTCTGGTGACCAGGGGTAGGACACGAGGAAATCGACTGAGGCTGCATCAGGGGAAATTCAGATTAGACATTAGGAAAAGGAGGGTGGTTGGTCACTGGAACAGGTTCCCCAAAGAACTGGTCATTGCACCAAGCCTCTGAGAGTTCAAGAAGTGTCTGGATGACGCTCTTAGTCATATGGTTTAGTTTTAGGCAGTCCTGCAAGGAGCAAGGAGTTGGACTCAGTGATCCTTATGGGTCCCTTCCAACGTGAGATATTCTTATGATGCTATGATGGCAGTGATTTGAAGTATGACTATTTTGTCAGCAGTTGGACAGGAATGCTGCGTACTGTTTACCCTATCATCTCTCTTTAAGATGAATGAGTTGAGGGATTTTAAGAGTTCTCTTTTCTTTAAGGGAAAAGAGAAGGCTGAGGGGTGCCCTCATCACAGTCTACAACTCCCTCAAGGGGGGCAGCGGAGGGGGAGGTGCTGATCTCCTCTCTCTGGTGACCAGGGGTAGGACACGAGGAAATCGACTGAGGCTGCATCAGGGGAAATTCAGATTAGACATTAGGAAAAGGAGGGTGGTTGGTCACTGGAACAGGTTCCCCAAAGAACTGGTCATTGCACCAAGCCTCTGAGAGTTCAAGAAGTGTCTGGATGACGCTCTTAGTCATATGGTTTAGTTTTAGGCAGTCCTGCAAGGAGCAAGGAGTTGGACTCAGTGATCCTTATGGGTCCCTTCCAACGTGAGATATTCTTATGATGCTATGATGGCAGTGATTTGAAGTATGACTATTTTGTCAGCAGTTGGACAGGAATGCTGCGTACTGTTTACCCTATCATCTCTCTTTAAGATGAATGAGTTGAGGGATTTTAAGAGTTCTCTTTTCTTTAAGAAAAAAAAACAACAAAAAAAGAAAAGAAACCCCCACTGCTCCTCCTTCTGCTCTCTTTATTCCTTCCTCCGTCATAATATCAAAGCGCATTTTACACAATTTTTCAATTTTGTCCTTCATTTTTCTTCACTGATTCTGTATCCATAGGTGTACAAAACACAATCACTTATGATTATGATGTCAAAATTCAGTTAAGACGAACGGAATAAAGAACAAAATGCTTTATTCAACCAGAAATATGAATACCTATATGGAAGTGGACATCTTTTGAATTAATCGGGCTTAAAGCCATGCAGAAAATAAATACAAACTGAATAGCTGCAACGCACAATTGTGTTGAATTTAGCTGTTCAAGACTAATGAGCAGCCTTAAGAATTCTAATTTCAGGAAGATGGAGAATTTTTGATTATTCAAAAGCAAATGAGAGTTACAACAAGAACTGTACATGTAATAAACTCTTACCCCCTTTGGCTCAGGCACAATCAAATGAGTACACTTATTATTGAGGCTTAGCTGGCAATTCCCTCCATAAAAAGTAATCAAAGCCCACAGTGTACTTCGGTCTTCAGATGAAACCTAAAAGGAAGGTAAATAAGCCTTTTAGTTCTATGCAACCAGTTGCCTTCTGCTTGAAGAAATTTAGTACAATCCATGACATACCATTTACAAGTCTGGCTAATGTATTACCTATCACTTTTAAATACCAAATTAGCATGAAAGTCACAGAGAAAAAAGGGTGACAAAGAGACACAACAAGAAAAGACGTTGAACGACCATTTTTAACCTGCACAAAGAAAACATCCTTCACTCCTGTAAAACTCAACACTATCACCTTCCACAAGAGAAAAAAGTTAGTGATCTAGCAAACAGGAATTATTTATCTTAGACAACCTATTTAAATTCATTAAGCAGAATTTTAACAAGTAGACCAAATTAATAGCCTGTGTAAACACATGAAGTGTTTATTTTTAACAATTTATGTCACAGCAATGTCGTGTTGTGTCCCGTCCCCCCCCGTCCCCGTCCCCCCC